TATCATAAACAAATGCCATTGTTTAAAAAAGCCATCTAAGTTTCTCAGCAAACGCATGAGGCTACTGTGCAGCCCTCTTTTGGAGGGGGGTTATGGAGAAATTTCCCCTTCCCAAACAGGATATGGCACTAATTCCTGTAGGGTTAAATAATGAAAACCTAGAACCTCCGCTATGTAGAATGAGAGGGTTTGATAATAAAGTTGGGCAGTGCCTCCATCCAGGACAGGGTTCTCTGGTAAACAGAAGGGGATTCCCTGTCCTGGCAAATTAATCAGTAATCTAATCAAATTAATTTGGGAGCAGAGGATCTACTGCAACCTGTAATTATTACCAATAACCAGAAGTATATAGGTACACACCAGTATGATAATAATTATAATCATAGCTTTATATAAGAAAGATTAAATATAGTACATACATCCAATGTACAAACAGATATCAGCAAACGGGCCTGATAGAAGTCCTACCACCCCCTCCCCCCCACACACTTTTACATATATATATCGTGAAATTATGCACTTATATTCGAGTGTATGTCGTTATTAATAACGGCCTCATATTACAATAGGGGCTGGGTGGGAGCTTGTTCTGGGTGGCCGTCATATGACGTCCTCCCAAGAACGCGCCTCGTGTAAAACCCACGGGCCACGCTGCAGCACGATCTGTCACCGCTGTGTCAGATCAGTGCACCACGCTGCTGCCGGTACCATGTGATCACTGTGACCACAGCAGATCACATTTGTACACAATGGATGGGGCTTCCATTCATTGTGTACTACTGTGTTGCTCGCTGTAATTGATCACAGCAATCACATGGTACAGACAGAGTCAAATCACAGCCCATCTGTACCATTTGATTAGCTGTGGCCAATCACATCTATCACAACAATACACACTGAATGAATAGATCTCATTTCACAACAAAATAGTTGCTTAAAACAGTGACTATCATTGTTTATAAGTGATCGCAGCGTGTAAAAAAAAAAAAAAAGGAAAAGAAAACCTGAATCACCTCCCCAGAGTATTACGCAGTGTTACTATGTTAACACTGTACTATCCTGGACATCCGTATGTAAAAAAAAAAAAAAAAAAAAAAACTTTTTACCATACTGTCACCAGTCAGTGTTCTGATCACTGCCATATCAGTTATAAAAAGTGACTACGAACGTGCATTGCCACGCCATTATGAAAGATGACTCTTAACTGCACTGATAAAACTGTGTACAAAAGAAGAACAATTGTGAAAAAAAACCCAAATGTTTTAAATTCTCATTTTCCAATAAATTGTGATAAAAAAATTAGAACTTTGAAAACCTTGCCTGCCTCTTATGAAATACCTTGTATTGTTACTTTCTAAAAAGGGAGTCATTTGGGGAATATTTGTACTGTCCTCGCATTTTTTAAGCCTCAAAAAATGAGATCCATCTGTACATCAAGATTTAGATGTGTCAAATATATATCCCAAAGGTTGTAGACTTGACTTTTCTACAGACAAATAAGATGCACTGATTTGGGTGATTTTTTTTAACCAAAGAAATGTACCCGAATAACCTAAATTTATGAGAAAGATTATTTGTTTGCAAAATATTATAACAGAAAAAGAAAAATATTTTTTTTCAAAAATGTTAGTGTTTTTTGTTTGTTTATTTAGCAAGAAATAAAAAACCAGTGATGATCAAAATACCAAAAAAAAGAAAGCTCTATTTATGTAAACAAAATGATAAAAATTTCATTTGGGTACAGTGTTTTTTTTTGTTTACATGACTGAGTAATTGTCAAAGTGTCCGAGCACTGAAATGCTGCAAAAAATTGGCCTGGGCAGGAAGGGGGTAAAAAGCGTCCGGTAATTGAAATGGATCCTCAACAGAACCTCTAACTACCAGAAGTGGCTGTTGGATGCCCTCTAGCCACTATAATGGTTTTTTGAGCTCCAAGCTAAAACTATGCTATAGGATTCCAGAACAGAAGGGTCAGGATGAACTAAAATAATAAGAGCTGCATAAATACATTATAGCAATAAACAGGATCACCTACTAATATACAGCAAGGTGACCACTACACATGCGAGCGCACACACACAGCACTGTACCCCCTTAGGAGTTGCTAGAAGATTTTAGTCCCCCTATAGTCCAGCACAGCAGACAACATGCATCTTCACACAGGCTTGCATCCAAGAGTCAGAAATCAGTCCTAGAGCTTTTGGTTTTTGTTGTTTATTGAGGGGGATTTGAACTGGGATAGGGTTAGGGGTGTACAGGATGCCCTAGAGCACTGATGAACTGAGGACAACTTCCTGGAACTATTTGCAAGCCTTCTCTGCAGCATAGTCTTTGTTGCAGAGCTAGCCAGCATCTCTTTAACCTCCCTGGCGGTATTCCGCTGAGTGTAGCTCGGGGTAAAGTTTCAGTACCACAAGCAGTAATCCTGAGCTACACTCGGGAATACATGCGGCGGACTGCTCCGGGATCTCTTCCTGCACTTACCTTGTCCTTCGACTCCCGCGATGTTCCTCCTGCAATGTCCCGGCAATGTTCCTCTGGACGATGCCGGCATCTGTCTTCTGGGTTCCGTTCCCTGCGACGTCAGGACGTACGGGACGTAACGGTGAGAAATTTAAAAATGTGACTATCACTAAATACACTAAAATCACATAGTAAAACATTACTGTATCAAAGTCATTTCACATACATTTTTGTCCCTAGTGCTTTGTCCTGGGCCCTGCCTCATTTTTACTGTTCTTCTTTCTGCCTGGAAACTGAGAAACGTCCTCATGGGCAATCCAAAAAGCGTACCCTTTAGGTCAAAAGCGGTTTTTAGGACCAGCTAGAAAATGCGATAGTAAATTAGAACTACTTGCAGAATTGAGTGATGATTTCGTAGGGAATTTGGCATCAGACACTGAAAAAGCGATTTTGCGACCTTTGCTCAGTGATGTGCAAACTTGGCGCTATATTTCAAATTTCAGTGTTTTTGGTTTGATTATATTATTGAATTAAATGTATTATTATTATATTATTTTTTATGATTGATTTATTAAATTATAATTTATGATTTTCGTGTTTCAAAATTTTAACATACCTCCTGGGATGTTTACTAGACTCTTGTTTCCTAAAAGTTATTCCTAAAAATTACAAGCCTACAATAAAAAAAAAATACATATTTCCATGCAAAAAAATGTACCGCTTTGAGCACAAAAATACTGAGATAATCAGAACACGCTAGGGATGTTAAGTGTACCACCCCAGACCCTAGATCAGCGGTTCTCAACCTGGGGGTCGCGACCCCTTTGGGGGTCGATACGACACTTTCCCAGGGGTCGCCTAAGACCATCGGAAAACACATATTTCCGATGGCCTTAGGAACTGAGACACCGCTCCTTGATCCGTCTGCAGGTGTGGGCGGGATGACATGCCGTTCCTGTCATCTGGACACACCCCCGGGATCAATCCTTCCTCGTCGGTGATTGGCCGCCGGAACTGTAGCTCAAGAGAGGTACACAGGCGGCCAATCACCGGCTGAGGAGGTGGAGCTTGGAAAGGAGGAGCCGAGCGGCACCGCGAAGCACGAGCGAGTGAAGAGGAGGAAAGCGGCCGGAGAAGGAAGCCATCTGACCGGTAAGTGTTTGTACCCATGGGAGAGGGGAGGGTAAGCGAGCGAGCCCAGGCTGGAGCAGGGGTCAGCAAGGTAAGTATCATTGGTGTCAGTGGGAGGAATAGTGCCCAATCATTGGTGTCACTATTACCAATGATGGGGCACTATTCCTCCCCCCACTGACACCAATGATGGGGCACTATTCCTCCCACTGACACCAACGATGGGGCACTATTCCTCCCACTGACACAACGATGGGGCACTATTCCTCCCACTGACACCAACAATGGGCACTATTCCTCCCACTGACACCAATGATGGGGGCACTATTCCTCCCACTGATACCAATGATGGGGCACTATTCCTCCCACTGATACCAATGATGGGGCACTATTCCTCCCACTGACACCAATGATGGGGCACTATTCCTCCCACTGACACCAATAATGGGGCCGTATTCCCCCCACTGACACCAATGATGGGGCACTATTCCTCCCACTGACACCAGTGATGGGGCACTATTCCTCCCACTGACACCAATGATGGGGCCACTTTTCCTTCCCACTGACACCAGTGATGGGACACTATTCCTCCCTACTGACACCAGTGATGGGGCACTATTCCTCCAATGACACCAATGATGGGGCACTATTCCCCCCACTGACACCAATGATGGGGCACTATTCCCCCCCACTGACACCAATGATGGGGCACTATTTCCCCCCACTGACACCAATGATGGGGCACTATTCCCCCACTGACACCTATGATGGGGCACTATTCCTCCCATTGACACCAACGATGGGGCACTATTCCTCCCCCCACTGACACCAACGATGGGGCACTATTCCTCCCACTGACACCAAACGATGGGGCACTATTCCTCCCACTGACACCAACGATGGGGCACTATTCCTCCCACTGACACCAATGATGGGGGCACTATTCCTACCACTGACACCAATGATGGGGGCACTATTCCCCCCACTGACCACCAATGATGGGGCACTATTCCCCCCACTGACACCAATGATGGGGCACTATTCCCCCACTGATACCAATGATGGGGCACTATTCCCCCCACTGACACCAATGATGGGGCACTATTCCCCCCACTGACACCAATGATGGGGCACTATTCCTCCCACCCAACTGACACCAATGATGGGGCACTATTCCTCCCCCCACTGACACCAATGATGGGGCACTATTCCTCCCCCCACTGACACCAATGATGGGGCACTATTCCTCCCCCCACTGACACCAATGATGGGGCACTATTCCTCCCACTGACACCAATGATGGGGCACTATTCCTACCCACTGGCACCAATGATGGGGCACTATTCCTACCACTGGCACCAATGATGGGGGCACTATTCCCCCCACTGACACCAATGATGGGGCACTATTCCCCCCACTGACACCAATGATGGGGTACTATTCCCCCACTGACACCAATGATGGGGCACTATTCCCCCCACTGACACCAATGATGGGGCACTATTCCCCCACTGACACCAATGATGGGGCACTATTCCCCCCACTGACACCAATGATGGGGCACTATTCCCCCCACTGACACCAATGATGGGGCACTATTCCCCCCACTGACACCAATGATGGGGCACTATTCCCCCCACTGACACCAATGATGGGGCACTATTCCCCCCACTGACACCAATGATGGGGCACTATTCCCCCCACTGACACCTATGATGGGGCACTATTCCTCCCATTGACACCAACGATGGGGCACTATTCCTCCCCCCCCCACTGACACCAATCGATGGGGCACTATTCCTCCCCCCACTGACACCAATGATGGGGCACTATTCCTCCCCCCCCCACTGACACCAAATGATGGGGCACTATTCCTCCCCCCACTGACACCAATGATGGGGCACTATTCCTCCCCCCACTGACACCAATGATGGGGCACTATTCCTCCCACTGACACCAATGATGGGGCACTATTCCTACCACTGGCACCAATGATGGGGCACTATTCCTACCACTGGCACCAATGATGGGGCACTATTCCTCCCATTGACATCAGTGACGGGACACTATTCCTCCCACTGACACCAATGACGTTGGCACTATTCCTCCCACTGACACCAATGATGGGGCACTATTCCTCCCACTGACACCAATGATGGGGCACTATTCCCCCCACTGACACCTATGATGGGGCACTATTCCTACCACTGACACCAATGATGGGGCACTATTCCTACCACTGACACCAATGATGGGGCACTATTCCTCCCACTGTTACCAATGATGGGGCACTATTCCTCCCATTGACATCAGTGATGGGGCACTATTCCTCCCACTGACACCAATGATGGGGTACTATTCCTCCCACTGACACCAATGATGGGGCACTATTCCCCCACTGACACCTATGATGGGGCACTATTCCTACCACTGACACCAATGATGGGGCACTATTCCTACCATGACACCAATGATGGGGCACTATTCCTACCACTGATACCAATGATGGGGCACTATTCCTCCAATTGACATCAGTGATGGGGCACTATTCCTCCCACTGACACCAATGATGAGGCACTATTCCTCCACTGTTTTACAATTTGTTGGAGGACAGTCAGCCTTACATGGCAGTCCCCTCATCATGTATCGCCAATGAAAACTACAGCAAAAATCACACAAAGCACTATAAAATTGTTGTCTGTAGCAACCAGTTTAAAAGATAAAACATGACTGGTGCTACGGGCAACACTCACAGCCAGGCTTCAACCATGTGATGGAAAGGCCACAAGGCCTAGGCTGGGGCAAATTTCCCAAAGAGGCTGCCCTCTTCAAACATCCTTCCTTGTAATAGCTTACAACAGTGATCTACAAACTGCAGCCCTTTGCTTGCCTTTACAGGACCCTTAGGGCCCTTCCTCCACTGACACCAATAATAGGGTACTATTCCTTCTACTGACACCAACAATAGGGTACTATTCCTTCTACTGACACCAATGATGGGGTACTATTCCTCACACTGACACCAATGATGGGGTACTATTCCTTCTACTGACACCAATGATGGGGCACTATTCCTCCCACTGATATTAATGATGGGGCACTAATCCTCCACTGACACCAATGACGGGGCACTATTCCTCCCTCTGATACCAATGGATGGGGCCACTATTCCTCCCACTGATACCAATGATGGGGCACTATTCCGCCCACTGATACCAATGATGGGGCACCATTCCTCCCACTGACACCAATGATGGGGCACTATTCCTCCCACTGACACCAATGATGGGGCACTATTCCTTCTACTGATACCAATGATGGGGGCACTATTCCCCCCACTGACACCAATGATGGGGCACTATTCCTCCCACTGACACCAATGTCGTGGCACTATTCCTCCCACTGACACCAGTGACGTGGCACTACTCCTCCCACTGCAAAATTACAGTTTATGAAGTAGCAACAAAAATAATTTTATGGTTGGGGGTCACCACAACATGAGGAACTGTATTAAGGGGTCGCGGCATTAGAAAGGTTGAGAAACCACTGCCCTAGATGAACTTCTCCTCTTCACCCAGCAATCTGGGAGTTGTCCCTGAACAGGTGATCCGGTTCCTGTCACTTTAAGAGGTAAACAGTCACCGCCCAGAGATTGTAGGTTGTACTCACTCAGATCCTCTCCTGTACCGCTTGTGTGTTGGTGGCTTCTACCAGACCTATCAGCTGGGCCACTCCTTCCTGCCATACAGATGGTCATCTCTAAGGGGGTCGGTGAGCTCTGAGCTTTTCCTCCTTTCCAGCTTCAGGCCTGCAGGTAGGCCGCATCCCACTGGGCCTCCTTGCAGTCTCCTTCCTTCAGCCTTACATCTTCTTCCTCTCTATCTTCCACTCAAACTCTCCTTCCAACTCTCCACTCTCCTTTTCTGCAACTGAGCAGCCTCCAACACTTTAAATGTGTACTGCCCCTTGCCAACCTCTTGTTGGGGATTGGTTAGGATCCCTAAAAAAGTGCAACTAGCCACTCTTCAGATCCACCCACTACATCCAGGGCCCCCCTCAAAAAGCCACAGAGCAGGGGGGAAATTCCAGAGGGGCTGGCCTGGAGAACCTCTCAGCTCCTGACCAACAATTTGAACTTCTGGCTATTATACCAGGCTGCTACTCAGCCTTCCTAATTGGACAATCAGGACTCTAGCTCCCTCTAGCTAAACTAGAAGGGTGCTACATATAAATACACACACACATTCATCCATCCAGAAGCTATGTGCAACAATAGTAAACTATAAAACACAAGTCGTACTTGCCTATTAATCCCTTCTGGCCTGGAGTTTAGCAGCAGCCTTTCTATCTTCACTTCCTCTTTCTGGGGTTTTCAACCCAACAACCAGAGACAGGAAGTGCATACATAATATACAGTATCTGCAGCCCAGGCATTTACAAATACAGACAGTAGAGGGCAGCAGATCACTAGTAAATCTGTTAGTGATACAAACAATATTTTTTTTCAACAACTCAATAGAAGTTTACTTGAAAAATCTTTCATGTTGTGGGGTTCTGCCTGTCTGCTGGCCATCTTTTTTCACAACTTCCTGGATTCCCTTAATGATTTGCCACTTCAGCACTACACAAATCTTTGGTTTACTTTCAATTTATAAAGAATTGCATATCTCATGGTACTTTGCTGCCAGCAAGCAGTGATTTAAAACAAATGTGGTGTGTTTCCTATACTAACTGTGCCTCCTGAAATTCCTCCTCTTTAGCAACCTCTATTCACAAACAGGGCTTCTTTTTCAGTTGTAAGCCCCGCTTCCACCTTAGTCATCTAGCCTCCCAGGCTCATGGGCCAGGGTCTCCTTCTGCTGACACAGATGGTCCTGAGCTGGGAGCACGCAGTATTGCCTTTACAGTTTCCTGCCTGCAGCTAACCTGGCTCCCCTTTACTTGGAAGGAGGGTGAAGGGATTGATGGGGGATAGAGAGCTCTGTACTTGGGGTGGAGTTTGTACTGTGGGATGAACTCTTTTGTCTTTTGTAGAGGGAGCTATGCACTGAGAGAAACTGGGGGGGCCGGTACTGGAGCTCTGCACTGGGAGGGGGGGGGGTCATTTTTGATTGTGCACTAGCCTGTGTGGTCACTTTCCTGAGCCTGTGCAACACCCACGCCTGAGCCCTGCACTCTGTGTGAAACATACATCTAAACCTTGTGCCCTATGTGAGTGCCTGCACTTATATCTCTGAAGGAAAAAAAAAAGGCCCAGTGGCATAGTGATTATGTGTTCACGAAATTCAAGAAACTAAATGAGCTTTGTTCTTCGAAATGTACGTTTTCCTACAAATAATAGGAGTTGGCTTAGAACTAATTGAAAATCAATGTGGAAATTAATATTTGATTTAAAATTTTGACCATAGATACACTTGCTTTTAAAATTT